CTCCACACACAACAATTCAGTTCTGGACTTAATCTGAGCACAAAAAACAGCACCAATTTCCAAAGAAGAACTATGACAAGACTGATTTTCAGATCTGCATGAAGAACAGCCCCAGCCTACTGGTTTTCCAGTAAGTTCCACAGCATTAATCAATAAGAGAGATCCTAACACACATGAAATCAGACTAACGGGCAGAGACAACAGGTCATCTGTGACCTACAGTCACCTTTTCACAGGTATAGGATCACACAATCCAAGAAATAAAAGAGGTATAACCCTCACAAAAGTCTGCTGACATTCAGTGGTTTGGATTCGTTTGTTCTCCACTTGGTACACGACCAAGGAAAGAAATAAAAGAAAAAAAAACTTTAGGGTTGTACCAGTTGCAGATCTGATTTGATCAGTCGAGATTCAATCCTCTGTTCTGCCCAGATTCAGCAATTTGAAGAGAAAACTTGGTCGCCCAGATTCAACAGCCTTGCTCTGATACCATCTTGGCAATAAATCCGATTGAAATATCAGGAAGGAGAGAAGAGAAGGGAAGAAGAAAGAAGAGAAAAAGAAAGAAAGGAAGAAGAAAAGGTTTGGAGCAATGGAACAGTGCTGGTGGTGCCAGCTTCTATTTATATTATATAGTGCGACATAAATAAGGAGGGAAAAGACTCCTGTGCCCCTGCTGTAAGTGAAGTACAATAATAGAAAATAAAAAGGCTTTAACTAGCCAAACAGACCCTAACAAAAATAACTAAATTATTTCAACAGGCTTAATTGTAGTTTGAATTTGTTTTGTTTTTTGTTTTTTGTTTTCTGTTTTCTTCTTGTTTTTAGGAGAGGACGCAGCTTGCGCCTCTTCATGGGAATCTTGTATCTGAAATGCTCTCTCTTAATAAAATCTTAATTTATTTATCAAAAAAAATATAAAAGTAATATTAGGCTATAGCTAATTTAAACATTTATGGTGTCGGGTCCAAATCTTAGAAAAGGAAAGTCAAACCCATACTTCTGTATTTGTTTATATTATATGGGGCTTTATTTGGCTGTCACAATGGGTCAGCAATTGGGTTTTCACAAATCTTTGTAAACCAGATCAAATTGTATGGGTCTATAAAATTTCAGTAGCAAGCTCGAGCCTAGTAACTAGTAAGTTGTTGATTTTGGACCCAAACCTATGAAACTAACCCTATGCAAGCAAGTACAATAATTTAAAATTATCCAGGCAAGCCCAATTCCATGGGACAAGGATCAAGTTTTGGAGAGATAAATGGTGTAATGTAATGAGAATCATTTGAAGCAGTCCTTCCCTAATATATTTGCAATTGCAGTAGACAAAGATGCAAGGATGATTGATTGTTATGTGGAGAGAAGAGGACAATTCATTTGGTGCTCAAAATTTTATAGGAATCTGCTTGATTGGGAAGTGGGTGAAGTTTCTGCCCTATCGTTCTTACTACAGAACCAAAAGCCTCTAGTAGGAGGGCAGGACAAGCAAGTCTCGTGCTGGGATCCTTCTGGGAAGTTCTTGGTTATATCTTTGGTGAGCAAGCTCTAGAGTAGCATTTATGCTGATTTCCTTGGCAATATTGTTTGGTCTCCCTTAAACCCCTCAAAAGTTTTCTTTCTGATGTGATCGGCGGCATGGGGCAAATTTCCAACAAGGGACAATCTTGTTAAAAGCAGGATGCAAATCTCACTTAAAATTGGTGTAGGCCTATCCCACCTAAAATTGGAGCTTTCATCTGGAGGCATTCTTTGGGAAAATTAACACTTGTGTTTTGCTATAAAAGAGGAGACCTATTAGCTATTTATCCCCTCATTGGTGTGTCCTTTGCAAAGGGAGATGGTATAATCTGGAATTTAAGGAATGATTATTAGAAGGTTTAAATGTCTATCTAAGGAAATAATGATTCAAGTCAATTGGGTGAGAAGATCTGCAAACCATTTTGTAGATGGGCTGGCTAAGCAAGGGGTTCATAGACAGTATGTATTGGCTCACTTGTAATTTTCTGGGCTTAATATGTACTCTTGAGTCTGTTATATATTTCCACAACTTCTTGTTACCTAAAGAAATGATGATTCAAGTCAATTGGGTAAGAAGATCTGCAAACCATTTGGTGGATGGGCTGGCTAAGCAAGGGATTCAGAGACAGTGTATTGGGCTCACTTGTAATTTTCTGGGCTTAATATGTACTCTTGAGTCTGTTATATATTTCCACAACTTCTTGTTGTACCTTTTTATCTAAATTTAATGAATCCTTTTCCATGTTGCTGATAAAAAAATGGTGACTTACTCTCACTTACTAATCTCTTGCCCATTTGTTACTTGCATTTGAGATTGGTTTCTTTCCTTATTTGGGTATAGGTGGAATCCTCCTACTTTTGTCTCTAGCCTTTAATCCTTGCTTTCTTTAGATGGCCTAAGAGAGGAAAAGTCTTGTGAAGAAGCATTAGGGCTGTAGACTTGTAGTTGGTTTAAAATGTCGGTGTCAGTGGAAATGTCGCTCGTCCAAATATAAGAAACATGTTGGAAATGTCAGAAATATCATATGGAAATATTGTAAAAATTGTAAACATGGTGGAAACATTGTAAAATATGCAAAATATAGAATGATATTTTATGAAATGATGAAAGAAGCATAGGCACACCTCTTTAAATTCCAAATCACTGAACAAAGCTAAGAAACTAGGTTATAGACAAAAGAATACATTCTGAAGTTGCCCTGCAAACCTTACGATTCAAAGCTTCATGATAGAATGAGTTAATTTAAACTCATAGAAAATGTAAATGGCTGTAATAGATCAACCAAATAATCTATTACATAAACAAAATCTAATATTTACGTTCATGTTCGAAATGAATATTAAGCTAGCTCAAAGTGGTAATCAAGTAAGTTAGGTGAACAATAACATTTATTTTATTTTTGTTCCGGTTTTCCCTAGGAAACTATCCGATCCAAGATTCCAATGGTTTTTCCCTAGAACATAATTTGAGATATGAACCAAATCCTCCCCCTCAGTTGATCCAAATGAATAGTCGAGTACAAGATGTTTTGTTAGATATTGAGATCTCTAAAGTTTAGTTAGATATGTTTGTTTCTTTGTTACCAAGTGTTGCACTTACCAGGAAAATAAATATGTTATAGATCAATATTCTCGAAAACATTCTGCTGATGGGATAAATGGAATAGGAATTGCTTCTTGCAATTTTGTGGTTTTGTACTGTCTCCATCTATAGGTTTTGTCTCCAAGAGAAAACTAGTGGTGCTGGCTCCATTAGGTTTTATCTCTATTACTATTGTGAAGTGTGTTTCTTGTTTTCTGGTTATCTAGTACGCTGAATCTTTGCTTTCAGTTTTGGGTTTTGTTTTATTATTGTTCTTACCTTCTCTTTGGACTGTTTTACTATCTTTCTTTCCATTTTTTGTTATTGTTGTTGTCTAGTTTCTGCAGTCCATAAACAGTGCAACTTGGACCCATTTCCCATTTTCTAACTATTTTCCTTTCTTTTTTTGTTAATTTTGTTACATAGTTTCTTTGGTCCATAAACAACACAATTTGGACCTATTTCCCTTTGCTCTTCTTAAATTTTTTATGCACTGTTAAGTTATGTTCAGCTCCTTTAGGTGGTAAATTTAATCAAAGTGTTAAACCTCTGTTTCTAGCCTCTCAATACATTATTTCATCCCTACTTTTACTCTCCTAGGTTGGTTTGCTTATAGCAACCTATTATTGCAATTTCTGCTTCGAAACCCACCTTTTACCTAGCCAGATGACCCTTGTTTTCCTTTAGATACTCATGGAACTTCATCCTTGATTTCTAGGAATATTCTGCAACTTTTCTATGGCTCAAGCTGTCAAGCATCAATTTACTTGTGCACCACTTATCCTTTCCTTTCTCCCTTCTAGTCGTAGGTTAAAAGAGTATTCAATATTCTATGGAGTTATATATTAGTAGTGCAGATATGATGTCTAAGAAGTATTCTTCCTTTCTTCTGTATTAAGAAATTTCTAATCAGCGCATAAGAAATTATCATCATTTTTTTTTTGTTTTTTATCGTTAACATGGCCAAATGAGCTATATTAAAATTAAATAAAGAGACAACTCCAACAGTTCATTGAAAGGAAATGGAAAGGACAAATGCAACAACATTAAGTTCACATCTCACTACATAATTTGACAATAAGATCATACAGTGTAGCCTCTGGATTTAGTGCCCCCGAAAAAGTTACTTGCCTGCTTACTCATCCCTTGCGAATGTGTCTTCTAGACTGTTTGCCAACCTAGTAGACTACCTGATTGATTTTGTGATGATTAAAGATAATACTATTAACTTCTCTTATGTAGTACCGGACGGACCAGGGGAGTGTCTTATAGACTGTTCACTGAACTAGGGGCACACCTAAACTGGTTATTATATAGTGGAAGATAAGGATCTAGCTTCTCATAGATTTGTATATATTTTATCTTTTGAATCCTATAAGCCTCCCTTCAATAAAAAGAAAAAAAAACAGGAAATTTGATATTTTGGGTTTGTTGTTTGGACGATGCGTTGGCAATTTTTTCTATTTTCTTTTGTTTTCGATCTGATTTTCCCTCTTTTTTTTATCTTCTTATTTAAATTGGTTTATTAATATGTTGTCTCAAACAACCCCTAAAAATTTCTTGGACGCCCATCTACTGCCACAGGTCATTGGCTTAAATAATGTTCCAATTGCTGGTGATGAATTTGAGGTTGTTGACTCCATTGATGTTGCACGTGAAAAGGCAGAGGCACGTGCAGAATTCTTGCGGAATGAACGTATATCTGCAAAGGCTGGGGATGGGAAGGTCACTCTCTCCTCCTTGGCTTCTGCAGTTTCAGCAGGAAAACAATCTGGATTAGATTTACATCAGCTGAATGTTATTATGAAGGTTGATGTCCAGGTACAGTTGTATGGATATTCTAAAAAATTTTAATATACAGAAAGTATCTGATTGAGGAAATGCTCTAATCACATTGCAATCAGTTAAAGAAGAGATTATCTGTCTGAGATAACAGGAAGATGGTCTAGCATTTGATTGGTCCTATGCAGGAGGTAGAACCCCTCCACTTGATGGCTCTGCCATGGAGTTAGTATGCTGCAAACATTGAATTAGTAATATAGTTGTGACCATTCTACCAACAAATTCTTTTTGTGGCTTAGTAAAGAATAAGAATATAATATGGTGGCGTTGCAACATCATTACAAAAATGGTGGTTTTGCAACCATCTAATAAAAGGATCCAGAGTGAAAAAACTGGACAGTTTGGCTCATCTTATAGGTCAATTCTCACTTTAGGGGCAAAGTTGGAACTAAAAGAAAGATTTCTATATCTTTATGGATGGTGGGTCAAATTTCAAATATAATTGGGAGACTTTCTCATGGAATGGGTATATAAAATGGAATCTCCTATAGGATGTTGTGCCCACCACTGTCATATGTGCACAACTGTTGGTTTCTTAAAAAATGTATTAAAAAAAGAAAACATTCTTCTATATACTTCATCATCTCTAAGGATTGTGTTCTATTTAGCAATTAATTTGAAGTATCTTAATTATCAATAGGGATCTATTGAAGCTATCAGACAAGCCCTTCACGTGCTCCCACAAGATAATGTCACTTTGAAGTTCCTGCTACAAGCAACGGGGGATGTAAGCACAAGTGATGTTGACCTTGCTGTTGCTAGTAAGGCCATTATATTGGGATTTAATGTCAGAGTATCGGGTTCAGTTAAGAGCTATGCGGATAACAAAGGCATTGAGATTCGTCTGTACAGAGTCATCTATGAACTCATTGATGATATGAGGAATGCAATGGAAGGACTCTTAGAGCCTGTTGAGGTGAGCAAGGAATCTCTGCAGCTTAGGCTTAGTTTGGAAAGAGTACAAATGCAAATATGTAAAGTACAAATACATACAAAATGCAAGGTTTTGCACTGTACATATTTGTATTTGTATTCCTTCCAAACTAAGCCTTACCTTGAGTTGTTTCCTTTTTCCCGGAGGTATGAGTATGGTGGACTGGGTAAAGATAGATCTTTTCATTTGCACATGCATGATTTGTTTGATCTACTATCCTATGTATCAATTGAGGGATGCCTTTTCATAGAAAATTTGCCTAGGACCAAAATATCTTATTTGTATTTTATCAAAATGTCCTTTCTATTGTGCATGTCTAAAAGATTATCGTGATCAACCAGTCTGTTTCTGGAAGGTGGGTCTTCCAGGTTGGGTTCATTTAACTCTGGTTCCATTCCTTTCTTGTGCACCCTGATTTGCTGAATTCCATATGAGTGAAGATTAACATATTTGTATCTTGATAGGAACAAGTACCAATTGGAGCAGCAGAAGTCCGGGCTATCTTCAGCAGTGGCAGTGGTCGTGTTGCCGGGTGCATGGTTAATGAAGGAAGAGTAGTAAAAGGTTGTGGTGTTCGAATAATTCGAAATGGGAAAACAGTTCATGTTGGTGTTCTTGATTCTTTAAGGAGAGTGAAGGAAATGGTAAAAGAGGTATGTGTCTAATACTATCACCTTTTCAGATTTGGTAGGCTGCTGGTTTTTACTGTAAAGCTGGCTTTTCTTTTTGATTATTTTACTGTAAATCTAGGTTGGAAACCAGTGTTCATCTACTAGCAGCTGACCACTAACTTGATTATCCTCTCTCCCTGCATATTCAAACTGAAACAGAAGAAAAAAGAGATGCAGAAAAATCTATGGTACAGACAAGGGTTTTCAAGATTCTCAGAGAGAGGTAGTGCCTCAATTACCTGGTCAAGGGAGGATTTGCAAACAAATATTCAGTTACGAGAAACTGGATGTTACCCTTAAGTTGGGGTTAAAAATATCTTGAGAAATTCTGAAAATTAATAGAAACCCAACAATTTCATGTAAATTATTTAGCTTTCAGTATGTGTTATATTTTCTCTTGATGAATGAATGGTAATTTTATAAATAAGATAATAAAGTGTACAATCACTCTAAGAAGAGGCGCGAGGTGTTACCTTACCTCCCCTTAGAAATGAAAACATAGCCACACTCTTTGAAGAATACAATATAAGGAAGCCCAAAACAGAGAAACCCTAGAGACCCCTTGTTTAGCCAAAGAATCAGTCATGGCGTTTGTTGATCTGCTAACCCACTGAAATCTGACTGAAATATTCCTTGTGAGCCAATTAACTTTCTTAAGAAGATCCCTGAAACCCCAGAAAACTGTTTCTTAATAAGATCCCTGAGCCAATTAACATTCAGTATGTGCTATATTGCTATACAACTTCAATAATGTTTCTCATGTCAGAGATGTCAGGGCATCATGGAAAAGCTGGAGATACCTTACACATTCTGAAGTCTTCAAATTTGCATATAACAAAATTGAAGAAAGAAAAATAAATGAAATATTACAGAAATGGGGAGAGATGAGTAGTAGTTCTTGTAATTGGATATTTGGATTGGCAATTTCTCATCTTTATCTCTGACTCTATGCTCTCTCCATAATAAATTGATTCCCGTAGTTCTTTTTAGTTCTCCTTTATTGTCTTATTATATTCCTCTTTGTTTTCTTTGAAGCATCTTTCTTTTCTTATTGCTTCTGTTCCAAGTCCATGCAGTTACCTTAGAATTGTACGGATTTTTTTCTATGTTGTTTCAACTCTTATGACCTTCCCAAGCTTCTAACCATTCCTTTCAAATTGGTCAGCCAACTTGTAGGATGCATTTCCTATCCTCTTATACCCTTACCAGACCTGTTCCCTTTTCTTTATTAATTTATAGAAATCATCTTATATTTTTTCTGACTTCTATTGGTTGTTAAATTTAACCAAGGTACTAAAGTAACAAACAAAGGGCTTTATGGCCTAATTACAGCTTGACCAACCCCATTACAACCACTTCAATTAGTTACTATTTGGTTGGGCCTTGCATTACTTCCCATGTACAAGATGATGGAGAAATATCTCCTTTCCATGATCTGCTCAGACTACTAGACATGGACAAATGGCAGGACATCAGCAAATGATAGCATGTCTTACCAAGCTTTATAAAGTATACACCATGAGGGAGGAGCTCTATGCAATCCAAGGGCTTTAGGATGGTCCATGGTGTTTGGGAGGGGATTTCAATGTTAGGTTGTTAGAAGAGACTAACAACCCTCTTAGAACAATCACAACCAGCATGAGAAAGTTTAATGGCCTTGGGGATCCTTGGTTTCTAGTGTTACCTCTGATCATTGTCCGATCAAATTAGGCTCGGAATCCTTTGTCACTAGACCTAGACCTTTTAGGTTTCAAAATATGTGGCTAACCCACCCAGATTTTGTGAATAAGGTGAAAGAATGGTGGGAAGAGGAAAGGGGGGGGGGACTGGAAGGGGGTTATATTCCACGAAAAACTAAAGATGGAATAAGGATCACTTTGGGAGATTAGAGGAACAGAAGATGAGTTTGATCACTCAAATAGAAGATTTGGATGAGAAGGAATCCCAAATTATATTGTCTGAAAATGATAGAGAAATGAGAAGACTACTAAAAAGGGATCTTGAAGAGGTGCTTTTGAGAGAGGAGATCAGCTGGAGGCAGAAGTCTAGGCATAGGTGGATTAAGGAGGGGTGACAGGAATACCAGATTTTTTCATGACTTGGCAAATGGAAGGAGGAAGAATTTTGTGACTAATTTAAAGCTAGATGAGGAGGTGATAACAAACCAGGTTGACATAGCCAGGATCTTTGTGAACCACTTCAAATAACTTTTTAGAAGGCCTTTGAATGAGAGTATAGTAGTGGAAGGATTGGAATGGGCAAGGCTGGATGATGAAAAGGCAAGGTGGCTGGAAAAGAGTTTTGAGGAAGAAGGGATAAAGAAAGTAGTCTTTCTAATGGATTGATCTAAGGCCCCGGGCCCAGATGGTTTTACAATGGCTTTCTACCAAGATTGTTGGGAGGTGCTAAAGATGACTTGTGTGATGTTTTTAAGGAATTTGTAGATAACCACATAGTAATCTCTGGAGTTAGTGCGACTTTCTTGTCTCTTATCTTATCCCCAAGAAAACCGATGCTAGCCACCCTAAAGATTTCAGGCCGATTAGTTTGGTGACAAGTGTTTACAAAATCCTGGCTAAAGTGCTTTCTTTGAGGATTAAAGTTCTCCCCTCCATTATCAGCCAAACCCAAGGGGCTTTCATTCATGGGCGACAAATAACAGACCAAATCCTAATTGCGAATGAATGTGTTGAGGAGATGAAAAGGACTAAACAAAGGGGCTTTGTTTGTAAATTGGACCTTGAAAGGGCATATGATTTAGTGGATCGGTAGTTCCTAATTGAGGTTTTGAGAAATTGTGGGTTTGGGGATAAGTGGTGTAAATAGATGTTTGGGTGTATTAGTTCATGTCGCTACTCAATTCTGGTCAATGGTGTGGTAAAGGACTTCTTTCTAGCTTGCAAGGGCCTGAGGCAAGGGGACCCACTATCACCATTCCTCATTACTCTAGTAGCTGTTGTGTTCAGTAGAATCATTACCAAGGCTGATAGGGAAGATGTAATTAGGGTTTGGAGAATAGGGAGGAATCAAATCCCAGTCACCCATCTCCAGTTCGCAGATGACTTGATGATTTTTTGTGAGGGGGGTAGTAGCGAGAAGGTGGCAAACTTGAAAGACCTAATAAAAGGTTTTGAGAGGATCTCCAATCTAAAAATAAATTTGGCAAAAAGCTGCATAGTAGGTATCAACTTGGAGGTGAGGGAGAGATTGAGGTTATTGCAGAATGTCTTGATTGCTCTATCTCTTCTTGGCCTATGTCCCACTTAGGGCTTCCGTTAGGGGCAAACCCTAGGGAGAGTAGCTTCTGGACTCCAGTGGTGGAAAAGTTTGATAAGGGAGTGGTGGAAAAGTTTGATAAGGGAATAGCCTCATGGAAGAAGAACTACATATCCTTGGGAGGTAGGATCACTTTAATAAAGGCTACTTTGGCGAACTTACCCATTTACTCTTGTTTGTGCTTAGGATACCATCTAGGGAAGCAGAGAAGTTGGAGAAATTAATGAGAGATTACTTGTGGGAATTAGGACAAGACAAAAAGGAACACTTAGTTAGGTGGGAGGTTGTGGGCAAAAGTAAAGAGGAGGGCAGATTGGGCATATCAAGGGTGGTTAAAAAAATTTAGCATTGCTTTGAAAATGGCTTTGGAGTTGGCCTTTAGAGAGAGAGAGAGAGGTTATGGCATGAGGTGATTGGAAGTATCCATGGTAGTTCAAAGTATGGGTGGGACACTAGTATATCAGGTATAAGGTGTATTTTGGAAACTCTGTCCGGTTTTGGGAGGATGTTTGAGTGGAAAATAACCCCTTTGAAGACCTTTTCCCCTTGTTATACTCTATCTCTCTTTATAAATATGAATGGTTCTCAAAATTTGTTTCAACATTGGGAACTCCTTTGGCTTTGAATTGGGATTTTGGCTTTCGTAGAGGGTTAAGGGATAATAAAGTTGATTCTTTGACTGATTTACTCTCCCTCCTCAATCAGGTTTGTTTGGACCCAACGGAGTCAGATAAGAGGGTGTGGGACCCGAGGCCCAAAGGAACCTTCACTTGCACCTCTTATTTTAAGTCTCTTTACCTCTCTCCTAGTCACCACTCGTTCCCTTTCAAGGAAGTTTGGTGTAGGCCAATTCCCCCAAAGATCATGGCCTTTTGTTGGGAAGTGTACCTTGGGAAATTAAACACTTTAGATAACCTACAAAAGAGAAGACCTCTAGTGTGTATTTCTCCCAACTGGTGTATTCTCTGTAGATCTCATGGGAATGATTGCTATCACTTATTGATTTCTTGTTCATTCTCAGAAGAGTTATGGGTTTGACTCCTTTCGTTGTTTGGGTGTAGTTGGAATCTACCAGCAGATGTACGCATGATTTTTGACCACTCTACCTTCTCTTGGTCCAAAAAAGAGGGAGAGTCATGTGGAGATCTACTTGGGCAGCTTTGCTTTGAACCTTATGGGAGGAAAGAAATGCAAGAACCTTCCAAGAAAAGGAGAGGAACAGCCTTGATTTGGAGGACTGTGTTCTGAATAGGGCAATACAATGGCTAAAAACCATGGATCTCTTTCAGCAATTCTCCTCTAGTGATTTTTGGAGAAACTGGATAATAGTAGCAAGCTGTTCCTCCATTAAGATCTGGGTAGCTATTGAGGTGGATTTCCCTGCCTGCAGGATCTGTGAAACTTAACTTTGATGGGAGCAGCCTAGGCAATCCAGGACTTCCTGGAATGGGGGGAGTGTTGAGAAATCAGAATGGAGAGGCACTTTTCTATAGTAGGTCACAAGTGTTAATTCTCTCATGGAAGACCTCCTAGAAAAAAGCAACAATTCTAGGTCAGATCAGCCTATACCAGACG